CTAAACACTCAGCTTTCGGGTGAGGAAGAGAGAGGTCCGGGAGGGACAGTTGCTCACGAGGACAGCAGCGAACACAAGGTCTGTCCGCGGGGCATCCCGCCTGACACCCCCGCCCCCCCGCAGACTCAGTGCCCTCGCACCAGCTTGACCTCAAGCCAAAACCAAGCAGCACAGCAGGTAAGAGCAATGGGTTCCAGTCCCTGCCATTCAGCTGCCGAGTCCTTGGACACGTACTTAGCCTTTGCGCCTCAACTTCCCCAGCTGTAAAATGGGACATAGTTTTCCCCTAGAGCTGTTGCGAGGCTAAGAGGAGCTAACAGTGCCTGGTCTCCAAAGGGCATTGGGGCGTTGGCTACTGCTAAGAATTTATTGTGTACCCACTATGTGCTCGATACTGAGCGCTTTCTGTATTTTGCCAAATGTAACCCCTGTCCCTATTCTGCACAATGAAGGGCATCCCCATTCTGTAAGTCAGCCTGATAAAGGTCATGTGCACAGCAGGTGGTTGTGGTACAGAGTCTCAGTGGCTGCTACCTCTGGTACCAGTTCATTTAATGAGGCGTCCCATGCATGACTAGGCTACCATGTTGCACCATGACCCAACCCTGACAGGCCAGCAAGAGGGAGCACTAGGTAGCGCCTGGTGACCTGGCGGCATTCCTAGCTGTTTTGGGGTGGGTGTGACCCTCACTGCTCCTGCTCCAAGGCCAAGGCCGTCCCTCTGGGCTTTGGGGGTGTATGTGAGTAGTGGTGGCTGGCAGAGGGCCAATCTTCATGCACACGTAAGAGCTTTAAAAATACCAGCAGTTGTATGCATCTTTCCTGTCTGCTGCAATACTTTATGTCTTAATTTCTGAAGTCTTCACAACTCGGTATGCCAACAGGGGGTATGCATTCATGTATGTTTATAACCTTGGATGTAGGTGAGAGCTGATGCTCATAGCCTCTCTGAGAGAGGTTTGTGCGTAAAGCCTGGCTCTGAGAGCCTTTAGGGTCCCATCTCTGCAAACATTCCTTCATCCCACGTCTTTAAACCCTTCAACAGACACACAGAAAAGAGACGTTCTGACCAACTAGGACCCAGCCCAGTCCTGTCTCAGGAAACCAGGAGCCCCACGGATTGTTAAGACCATGGCTCCCTATCATTTTATATGGTTTTCAAAGGTCATTACCCTTGCCCTGGCTGGTGTGGCACAGTGGATTGGCGCATCATCCCATACACGAAAATGTTGCAGGTTGGATCCCCAGTCAGGGCACATACCCAGGCTGTGGGTTCGATCCCCAGTTGGGGTGTGTCCAGGAGGCAAACTGATTCATGTTTCTCTCACATTGATGGTTCTCTCCCTCTCTCTCCCCATCCCTTCCCCTTTCTCTAATATCAATGAGCATGTCCTCGGGTGAAGATTAAAAATAAGTAAATAATAAGTAAATGAGACCACTGCCCTCAGTTCTGCAGCACCTGGGGCAGGAATCGATGTGGAAGGCAAGCATTAGTCTGCAGATGGGCCTGGCCCTCATCGCGGGCGTGTCTGTGGCCCTCAGCCCCTCTGCACCCGGAGTGTGTCCCCTGTACAATAGGAGGAGGGCGATTGCAGGCCCTTCCCAGTTGTGTTGACCAATGACCACAGAGAAAAACTGCAAAGTACCACCGATGCTTTTAAGATGCTTAAAACAAACTTAAACCGCAGTGGCTGAAAGAGGAAACTGCTGATTACTTTCATGGCCGTCTGCCTGCACTCCTGAAAGTTCTGGACACAGGCTTACAATTCCAAATGTTTTCTGTCTTCCACTGCAAGTTCTCTAAATTCAGTCAGTGGGAAATGGCCTATGTTTTCATGCACTGTCCTCGCCCCCCACAAGGTGGCGCTGCTTCCCAACGAGCAATTCCTTTCCGCTAGAACCTTTCCATAAGAATCTTTCCCAGCGGCTCAAATTGGAGCTGCCAGAGGGAAGAAAACAATGAAGAATCACCCCACCCTACGCGCCCCCCCGCCCGCCCCCCGGATCTCAAGCTGCAAAACCGGATCCTGGGATTAAGAGGGCCAGTGTCAGAAACCTGCAGTCACTGCGGAAGAGTTGTGGCTACAGGGAGGGTCTTTGATGTCCCTGCTGTGATATGCCCCTTTCCAGATCGGGAAAGAGGAAGCCTAAAGCCCCCGTGCTTGCAAGGGGGAGAGATACTCGCAGGGTTCCGGTGACGCGTCTGCAGGGCTCACGATTTTCAAGTGGGCTGATGTGAGGTCGACCGACCGTAAGAATCCGATGTGCTGGGGCCTCTCCTTGCTGCCCTCCGGCCACGGTCCTGTGAAGGGTCTATGGCGCTGCCGGTTAAAAAAAAACAAAAAACAAAAAAACAAAAACAAAAAAAACCAAAAAAGCAAGATGCAAAAGACAAAAAAAACCCCAAACACGCCCTCTGCCTGAGCTCACACCTGCCTCTCCACCCTCGACCCCACAGCCCTTCATTCTCATAATAGCTCCCGCGCAAAGAAGGAAGGAGCAAAGATGCAGTTTGCATGTTTGAAGTCAGGGCACCCTCTGACTTCACCCCTCCCCCCCACCTCAGCCCCTTCCTCTTGAAAAGAAACGGCCGTTTTGGTGGGGTGGGCACAGCGGAGGAGGTCAGCGCTGTTTCTTATTTGAGATGAAACATGGGAGGGTTCTGGGGCTGAACCCCTCTCCCCTGGCCTCCATCTGGTGTCACCGCCTCGGCCTCAGGAAGCTTTTGTGATCAGTGTGGAGAATTGCAAAGAGGTGTCTTCCAAGTTCAAATGGATGGTGCTCATTAGGTACTAGATGCTACCTGTTTTAAAAAAAATTATTTTACAGGGTGCTTTCATGCTTTTGGAAGGAGCTCAGAAAAATTTAATTGTTAACACTGACGTAACAAATAAATAAATAAATGTATTCGAGTCTGCCTTGTAATGAACTTACTCTATTTTGGTTCTAAAAATTCAGGACTGTGGGACTGAGCTCATGTATTGAGAGCCCATCGCTGCCGTTCATTGGGAACCTCTCCAGCTAGACAGTTTTTGAGGACCAGGGATGTCTGATGTCTTGTTAGTGGAGAGAGCTGAAGTAATGACACGAGACATAGTGGAGAACTGCTTGCTGCCTTCACCCAGACCCAATCCTCTTCCACGCACTCCTGTCTTAAACCAGAACCACCATCTGTTCGCCAAAATTGAATTCCGCTGACATTTGAGTGCCTTCCTGGGGTTTTTTCAGGCATTATGTCGGACCTTTCCCATTCATTATTTCATTCACTCTCCACAGCCATGATTTCAAACCAGCCACCGGTTTTTATGCCCATGGAAAACGAGGCTCAGAGGGCCAAGTTGCCTTCCACTTGCCTCTCCCACCCCCTTGCCTTCCCCACTGCCTCACCCTAACCTGCCTCTGCACCTCCAGGCGTCAAGCTCAGCCACTCAACGGTTTCCTCAAAAACCACGATCAACACACTTGGCTTCTGTTTAAAACTTGGTAACTTCCAATTTTTCATTCATTCAACCCCCAAATCTCCAGTCCAAGTCCGTTCTGTTGAATCACAAAATCTTGTAACTCTTTCAAAATGGCTCCCTTGACTACAGCTGCCCTTGTCTCCTGCTCCTCCCTCCTGTCACTTGGTCTGTGCCTCTGACACCCTTCCTCCCCAGCATGCAGTCCCCTTCCCAAAAGAGGTCGCCCGAAACCCACCCAGACCGGAAGGCTCTGCACACTCACCTCCTCCGCGGAGCCACACACAAACACATCCAGGCCACACTGTGCTCCCCTTGCCAACCTTCCACGGTGCTGTTGCTGCGCCATTTCAGGAGGCTGTCAGGAGATGGACTGAGGGACTAGTGTGCAGCTGGTGGGAGCGCAAGACTCTTGGCAAGGGGTAGGGCCAATCTCGCTATATTTACATTTATATGCCCGCCCCCCATGCAATGGAATATTGTCAAGTTAGTAAAAATGGCTGAACTGCGGGAAAGTAATGCCAGATGTATCTTTTTGACCCTGATAGAAAGCATATTTCTTATGGCTTATTTTCATCTTGGTGGTGGCGAATATTAAAATGTATTTGAGAGAATGGTATTTTTAACTTATTGCAAATTAAATTCCTGCTAGTTAACTCAGGATGGCATAAATAAATAGTAAGATAACCTGACTTGCACAGAAGGCCAGGTCCCGGATATTTCTCCTATAAAGCTGAAGCGTATCTGAGGGAGAAAGATGTAAAATGTGCAAAGAATAAAATTTAGAGTAGCTCTTGGTGTGGTGGGGAAGCAGGATAAAGGGAGGGGCGAGGACCCAGGTGATGACCCCGGAGACCGGCGCGCCAGCTCAGAGGGGCCCACACGCAGGCCGTGCTCAGGGGCACACTTGCTGGCTAAAGCGGAAAGCCCGTGCGCTGGAAGCCACCGACCCCACTGCCCGCTGGGTGCAAAGGGGTTTCCGTTAGACGGCTCCAGACAGGCACCCAGTGCCCCGGGAGCTGGGGGACACCCCGAGGGTCCGGGCTGAGTGACAAGACATTAGTCATTGCCAGAGGACGTGACTGATGTATGGATACCTGGGAAGTGCCACCCCATCATCTCTTAGAAATTAATGACTGTATAAAAACTGCCTTGAGAAGGGATAGAAGACATGGCCAATGAAATAAAGATACTCAGTACTGTGCTGGGAGAGCTGCTGGGAAAACAAAATCGTATTACTAAATTGGAGAAAGCAAGTTAAGTCCTGCACACTTTCAGGGAGAAAGGCCTAAACCGGTGACACAGCTCCAGTGTGACAAGGACTCTGTCCTGGCTACCACGGCAGCACACAGTCGGCTATAGAGTCAAGCTGCTTGGGGGAAACTGAGGAACATCCAGAGGGGAAATAATGTTGGGATTCAGCGCCTACATTGCAGGGACATAGTGGGTTGGTACTCTAAAAAGAAAAAATATATATATGATGTATAATATCATCCTATCTTTCACTTTTATAAAATTTGTAATAAAGCACAATTCTTAGGTTTTTTATTTTTTTATTGCTGTTAATTCAAGGAAAAAATGTTGCATAAAATCCAATCTTTTCTAGAAATATAAGTGGCCTTTCCAGTACATAACATTTCAAATATCAAAGTATATGGTAAACATACAAATAAGGAGAAGGTAGCACACCTCCTATGTACAGTACAGTATTTTAAATCATAAAATAAGCTCCATAAAGTACAACTGGCAAGTGATTCACAATGCGGTCCATACGTGGCTTTATCAAAACTCTCACTTGAACAACTCAACTGCAGCTTAACAATTCATTTAATAATGTGGTCCAAAAATACCCAGATCAAATAAAATATAATTAATCAAAATAATTTTTTACTCAAATTTTTTTTCTTTTTAAATTAAAGCTTTCCTCTACCCCTTCCTACCCACCCTTTCCCCGTCAACTCCCACCCCTGAAAGAAAGTTTCAGAATGTACATTGGTGCTATAAATAGAAATGCTACCTAGGAAGCATTACACGAAGCTTCTTTTTTCTTCAAGTTTTTCCTTTTGTCTCGCCACCTGTTGGGCTTCTGAACCAAGACCAAACGTCGAGGCGCCTCGGCTGCGCACCAAGCTTGCTGCGCGCGAAGAAACCTTTCGCTGACGCCCTGGCCCTGCAGCGTGGGAACAGAGCCCACCCAACCCCCACCGCTGCGCCCACAACGGCACGGCGGGCTGCGGAGGGGGCGCCGGCAGGGGTGCCCGGTGCTGGTGACCGCAGCAGCCCGAAGAACATGCCCAGCCTCCCCGATAACCTCAGTGCACTTTAGGAAATCAAAAATTACCCGGAAGCAATTTAGTACATAGATTGGCTTTAAAAAAAACTTTTTTTTTTTTTTTTTAAACAGCAGCATTAAACTTAGTGACATGACACGGACATGATTAATACCATCTTACACTCGGCACTCAGTCTTTCACATTATCATCAAGCAGAGTGGTACACGGTTAAAAAAGTGACTTCGCTACGAGAGACAGGTTAGGGAACAGATACCTGACTTCTGTAGAAAAGCAGAGCTCCTGTGCAGGTTGCAACAGACCACACACATCTTCACCACAACATAACACTGTAACAGGCGGTACGGGACAGGAGGCGGCCTGGCGCGGGCAGCGTCCCTGCGCGCCACGCGATGGTGGACTGCGAGTAAAAATGGCGACTGACCGCCGTGACCCATACAGACACACAGAACAACACTCACGCTGCTTTGTTCACTTTATGTCTCTCGGGAGCAACAGGCTAGAAAAGTATGATGAATTAAAAAAGTTCTTTGTACGAAAAAGCTCTCGGTCCACTGCAGACATCATGTTTTTTCAGTTTTATATGGTTTTACTTCTTCCACTTACTTAAATTTTTATTTGGACAACAAGCGCTGCATATATGTATGTACGTGATGCTGTTTATTACATATATACACACTATCTGGGGACTCTTGACTTCTCCCTTGCGACGAAGGTGGAACGATTTACTCTCAGTGTATGTGCAGAGCAGTCTACGGCAGTGGGGACCAACGCACGGGCCGCCCTCGCTGCGATGGACCGCTGGGACATGGGAGGGTGGCAGGGAGGAAGTGCACTTTAGGGTGAAGTGAGAAAAGCTGGGGAAGAAGCAAAGTATCTTTTTTTTTTTTTTTCAAAACCATACGACTGTCACCAGTGTAGTAAAAAACAAAAAGGTCAAATACACAGTTTTAAAGATTCAGTAAACATTGCACACAGCAAGTATTCAGTGTAAAAAAAAAAAAAACAAAAACCACCACACATCCATTTTCCTTTTGATAGTTTGGATGTTTAAATTACACATATCATACAGACAAGCCTGTTGTTGAACCAGGAGACCAGAGGCTCAAAAGCAATGCATTCTTTTTTGTTTTGGACATCAGTACAGGACAAATGAAAAACCCCAACTGCATAGAAGTCTCAGAAATTTGTAGACAAAGAAACATGAACAAAATACCTTTCCTTTCCTCCCCTCCACGCCCCACCATGACTCCCCACACTTCAGTGTATTAGGTAGGCAAGCTTTACTCGCTTCAGTCTGCAGAGTCCAACGTATCACTAGAAGGGGGGAGGGGAGGTGCGTATCTCAGTCTGTAAGTGCCTAAAATGGGAAAGATAGAACTGCTAAGTCACTGCTTACAACGAAACGCATCACAAACCCCTACAAGATACCAAATGGGCATGCTCGTCAGGGGGCATCTCTTTCCACACTACCACAATTCCAAGGTGGTTAACAGAATTTTTTAAAAGTAATCTGAAGTTTGTGCCCTAAGTTCAACCTAAAGCTATCAAACTCCAGCTTTTAAAAAAAATGCCAAGTTGCCCTGACTGGTGTGGCTCAGTGGACTGAGCACCCCCCCTGTGAACTGAAAGGCTGCCAGTTCGATTCCCGGTCAAGGCACATGCCTGAGTTGCAGGCCAGGTCCCCAGGTGAGAGTGTGCGATAGGCAACCAAATGTTTCCCTCCCTCTTTATCTCCCTCCCTTCCCCTCTCTCTTTAAATAAAATAAATAAATAAATAAATAAAACTTTTAAAATGCCAGGTAAATACTCCCCGATTTAAGACTATTTTTGGGTGCTATTTGGCAAAAATGACAAGAGCCAAATACAAGTGAAAGATAACAGTGTGAGGCATATGCGGATTTTGTATCTTACTCATACTTATTTAAGAACATTTTCTGGTTTTTTGGTGGTAGTAATAACCAACTTAGTTCAAATTCCCTTACTACCAAACCAGTGCTTAAAATATTTTGTTCCTTAAAATGCAACAGCATTTAATTTAAAACCCCTGCTGGGCAGGAAAAGCGCGTGGGGGGCACACTGGGCCCCCGGCAATGCACAGATATTTTAAGTAACTAAAATCTTACATGTCAGATGACTGCCTTAACTTCCTAGTTTTTCAATATCTAAAAAATTTGCTTACTTTATGAAAGAGGATTGTAGCTTTCTAAAAAAGTGCTGCAAGCCAGAGATTTGACATTCTCTAATGCCAATTCCCATTCTATTCCTTAAAAAGTGCCCTTCTGGTTTCCTCCTTGCTCGGAGACCGAGCCCCTCGGACTGCCTGGCGCCGGGGCCCGGGTCTACACTAGGCTCTGCTGTCCGGAAGAACCACATCCTTAAACGCACACACCACGACCTCCTGCTACGACTGAGTCCTCGCCACCACCACGGCAAGGGACACGGCCCACTAAAAGCAAGGCCTCTGCGAGCCCTCGTGATTACCTTGTGCACCGGCCTCCCCGGAGGACTGCTTACACTCCTGCGCAAAGTGCCCGCTGACACCGCAGTTGTAACACGAAACGCTCCCGTTCTTCTTGGGCCCGGAGCCGCTCGTGTTGGCAACTACACTGGGAGCGGCATAGACGGCATAGTATCTCCCAAATCCGGTCACCTGCTGCAGGCCGTAGCTGGCTTGGCTGCCCATGACTGGGTCGTGCACCAGTCCGTTTGCATACGGAGTCGGAGGCAGAAAGAAAGGAAGCTGGTTTCCGTTGCTCTGATGTGCCTGGTTGAGGTAGCTGCCATTGCAGATGGACGGCAGAGGGAAGAGTGGCGGGACTCGGTACATGGGCACAGGGTTAGGGTAATAGTAACTACTTAGCTGGAGGTTTCCGTTGGTCCCACAGCCGCACCTCCGCCCACAAGAACCGCACGGCCCCGAGCCCATCTGCTGCGGCGGCAGCACCGCCCCGCTGGCACTCGTGTTTCCCACAGCACTGATGTAAGACGTGCTGTCGCTCTGCGCCGTGCTGTGCGTCAGCGCGGGGCTCGGGCTGGGGGCGGGGCCTGGCGTGTGGGTGGGGACCGCGGGGGCGCCCGAGGACTGCACGGGGGTGAGGCAGGCGGCGCCCACGGACGCAGCCGACGTGGCCGCCGTGCTGAGCGCGCCGGAGCTGGGGCTGGGCAACACGCCGGCCGCAAGGGGAGAGCCTGGCAAGGTGTAGGGAGCTGGTGGCTGTGCGGCTGAGAGGCCAGCTGCTGAGAGAACTACGTTCACATTGGTAGGCTGAGGGACTGTCCCTGGGTTTCCCTCCATTTGAGGCACCATTTGATTGAGTCCGACCACTTGGGAAGCAGGTTTGGTGATGGGGTCCGTGGCAGCACCAGGAGAGCCCGGAAAGCCACCTGGGTTGTGGACAGGAATAAAGGCAGTGTTTGGTGATCCGACGCCCAGACTGCCGGCCGGCTGCGGGGGGACGGGCGGCGAGCAGCTCTCGGAGGGCCCCTGCGGCGGCGGCAACTTCAGCCTCGGGATGTGTGGAAGGAACGTTGACGGAAGAGGTAAAGGGGCAGCCAGCAGTTCCAGCGGCTTTTCTGACTCTCCAGTCGCGGCCGCCGGCCCTAGGATCCCGACAGGGGCCGCGCCGGACTCCCTCAGCGCAGACAGAGCGACAGGGCTGGGAACGAGCATGCCTATTGCTTTGCCGTCTCCCGGTTTGGGGGGAGGAACGACAACTTCCGACTTCTGCGCGTTGTGCATGACACAGTGTAAAGTCGGCATAAAAGAAATATGCTGATACTTGGGCGCGTCTGAGGGGTCTTCCAAAAGGCTCCCGCCGTCGTTTCCTAAGGAAGCGATTTCTACCGGAGGCGGGACAGCAACAGTCTGCGTCACAGAACCGTAGCTTGTAAACCTCGTTGCTGACGGAGTCCCCGAATCTTCAGAGTTGCTGTCTGTGTCTGAGGGAAACAAACGGAAATGGATGTGAACACCAGTGTGACCTCCCGTCTCTCTCGCTCTAAGTAAATAAAGTTTATCTAAAATAAACCCTGAAGTCTGGGACCGGAGGAAATGCGTCCTCTCAGCTTCCTAACTGCCAAGCTGACCTCCTTGGAATTTTTGGCGCGCTACAGATTTTATTTTAAAAATATAGAAATTCTGGAAAAGGCAAAATCATGAAGGAAAAAAAAAAAAAAAAGGTGGCCAGGAGCAGGAGGTGGGGGAGCACGGGGACTGTCAGGCAGTGAAAGCCGTCTGTGTGACGTTACAATGAAAGATCACGTCGTGACACATTTGTCCGAAGCCACTGAAAGTCGGCCGCCAGGAGGGAACCCTCAGGTAAGCCACAGACTTGGGGCGCTAACCGCGTATCCATGCAGGCTCATCCTTGATTAAAAAAAAAAAAGTGCCATTCTAGTGAATTACGTTGAAAATGGGAGATGTCGTACCTGTGTGGAAAATCCCTATACTTTTCTTAACTTTATTGTAAACCTAAAACTGCTAAAAAAAAAAAAAAAGTCTTTAATTTAAAAAATCAATGGCAAGAAAAGCAACAAAACGTTAATTGGAGACAATGAAACACAATACAAAATACAGAGATTTATTTAATATCTTATTCCTGCGAAAAGGATCAGATATTTTTAACTTTAATCGATTTCAGGCAATTCACTTATTTTCTGCACTGCCAAACCCGAGGTCTCTTTGTTGCATATAAATGATACAATTTAAAGGAGCTCAACTCAGGGTGTATTTAACTGAAGTATCTAGAGGTGGGAAATGGAAGAGGGCTTTTCCAGAATAACGTAAGTATTCTTACACCCCAGTATTTGGGGGCAAGAGGGGAGAACGTAAAGCGTCCAACACAGTCAGCAAGCAGGCGGCCACGCTCTTGCGCCCTCCAGCGGCAGCGGGAGGAGGCAGGCGGCCCCCGTTTGGTTTTATTACTGCAACCTCCTTACACGCGCGGGCATGAGGAAACAGCCTCAACTCAGACTTCCCTTGCATTTCCTGACTTTTGGTATAAAAGAGACAAAAGAAAAACCTAACTCACAACATTTGAATATCAAGAACTCAGATACTGCGGTAATATGTACAGAGAGCATGCAGTTAGCCATAGTGCCTATTTTACCATCTCTGCTCTTAACTATAAGCAGAACTGCAAAATATACTTAAATGTTTATATTTATTAGGGTAATAACTAGTTATATTCAGCTAAGATGTAAAAAAAAATTTTTAAAAAGAACACTGAAAACAAATCATACAAGTCTTTCTGGACAAAGGTTAAACAGAACCTACTCAGCAATAGACTGTCAACAGTATTATTAATTCAACTATTGTAATTTATATTTGAGAGAAGAGATTCAATTTATGAGTAAATGATTCTAGCATAAACTCCCCTTAATGAGGTTTTTATTGCTAAACTTTACAAAACAAAAAGTATCCAAAAACTAATAACTTATTTACAGTATTATATCTGTATCTGTACCATAATTATGAGCACAGAGTTAAAGATAAACATTTGGTCAATTAAATTTCTATATGAGCTGTGCACAATCTCCTTTTTTTTTCCCCCAAATTATAAAAGAATATTTGAAAAGTTACAGATAGTAGGAGTTGCCGTGTTGGGCTATGTGGACTCAGGAAACAAGCTACAGAAGCAGAAGGGCCCTTGGAGCTCAGGAGAAAGAAGGGCAAAGGCAAGGCACAGGGGTGGAGGAAGGGAAGAGGACAGCACAACCCTGTGTTCTTCTAAGGGGGAGCGCACCTAAATAAATTTTCCTAAGCTGGCAAATGGCCCCATGATTTTCAACAGTCCCGAATGGTTTTCTGGGCATTGTAAGGACTCATCTAGCTACTCAAAGACAGGTTTTGTCCTCTTTTTTTGATGTTGACTTTGAGAAGTGTAAAGCCTCAAAAAAAAACACACCCCATTACGACCAGTAAGAACAATAACAACAGCGACATGCTTTTCAAAGCAACCTCTTCATGCACTCAAAATCAAAGCTTTTTTTTTCTTTTTTCTTTTTGGAATCACAGTGGATATTTACCCCTTGTTGGTTTTAGACAGTCCCAAAGGAGTCTTCATTCAGAGAAGGCTCATTTAGCTACTGATAACTGCGCATATCTGAAAAATGACGCATTCCTCCATATGCCCACCTTAGCCTACCAACGACATGAAAGGACGCTATGAACTAACAGAAGTGTACAGATGTACTATGCAGATCAGAAAGGCAGCGTTGCCACAGACTGGTCGAATCAGGGGTGGAGTCACTGCATGCAACATTCGATATGACTTGAAAATAACTGCAAAAGTAAAGAGTGGCTTTACCTGTATATGACACAGCAGCACAACTGCCGCTGTTCCTAAGACATGACCTGACACCGGGATACAGGAGCTAAGATCGCAGAGAGCTGTGGATTGCCCAGGAAGAAGCCACGTGTGGCTGACATGCTGTGGTCTGAGGATCTCTCTAGCTCCTCAGGCAAGCCCAGAGAAGTCATCTAACACTGCCCACAGCATGGGACACCTTATAACCAAAAGGTTACCAGCCAGTTGTTGTTGTCAGGCATAAAAAATGACATCCCCATTCAACTTACGTATTTTTGGGATCACACTTCTGGAATAGAAGAGTAAGGACTTCTGACACTCCACTCTTTAAAAGCAGTAAGAATCCTGGGAAAAACTATCAAAATCAAAATTCTCATACCTGCGGAAATTAACTAAAGACTCGCAGCAGTCTGAGGAGTGTTTATTCAAGAAAAATACCTGAATCTCTTAAGAACTGCAGGTACCTTTGCCTGCATTTTACCTTGCCTAATTCTATTTCATTTTCTCCAGCTCTGAAGTAGCCTTGTAAACTTCCAGTCTTACAGCCACAATAGCTAAGAAAGACAGCAGCCTAAACAGCCATTAGAAGAAGCATAGGTTTGGAGCTCTACAGAACCCATCCCCAAAGAACTGTCACTATTTGACTGGCAACTGAGTTCACTCTTTCAGGGCCCTTTACCCACAGGGCATTGCTCCCAATCAATCAGCAGCAACTATTTAACAACTTGGTGGCCTGGGGCAGCATTACCAGTTAGGACCAACCAGAGGAAAAAACTTAAAGGAAAAACTGGAGAATGAGATGTTCACTAGGAGTTTTGAAAAGCTTCAACACATTCCTGGGAATCTAGAAGGCCACACTCACATCTTGGCCTGTTTGCATACCCAGGAAAGACCTGAGAAGATCCTAAACTCTTGCTTCTGGCCGACTCAGAGCCTCTGTTTACAGAGGAATTGGAGATGTAATACATACAAAAAACAAAAAGGCAGATGTAAATTCTAACATCAACAATCACAGCAAATTTAAGTAGATTAAACACTCCAGTCAGGTGACAGAGATTGACAGAATGACTAAAAAACCATAATCCAACTATATGCTCTCTGTTAAGAGACACACCTTAGATTCAAAGACACAAACAGGTTTAAAGTAAAAGGATGGAAAAAGAGGTGCCCTGGCAAACTCTTCCCCAAAAGAGAACTAGAGTGGCTATGTTACTATCAGATAAAAATTAGAATAAAAGTTGTTACAAGACATGAAGGATATATTATAATGATAAAAGGGTCAATCCATAAGGAAGACATAAAAAATTATAAATATATGTGCATCTAAATGTTCAGTCTTTCTACACTAACTCCATTTTGTTACGACTGTCTCCTATTTAATTTCATAAGCAGTGACTTTTTTTTTTTTAAATCAACACTGCTAGGACCTGCTAAGTCAATGGTCTATACATTCTTTATACCAATTAAATTAAAAATCAGTAACAATGTTCATAAGAACATAAAATGACTTATGTTTGACTGATTTTAAGAGACAACACATATTTTCCTCCACTACCCCCATGTTCCCTCCAAAGAGCAAACCTCTGTCTTTTTCTTCTTCGCTTTCAAAACTCTCTCTTCCATCATGTCGTGGACTAGAGGGAGAACTGTAACTCTCTGAAGATGTTTCTCCACATGTGTCATGTCCAGATCCAATGTCCAAATTCGCATCTAAAAATAATAATTCTATTTTTAAAAATAACGTTGAGTAGTTAAAGTGAAATCTGACTTAAATCATTAGAAATTAGTTACAGCTGTAATTTTTTTTTCAGTTTTCCTGCAATCACCTAAAAAGCTGGTCCCACAGCTTTTTAATAATGAAAAATTCATTATTAAATCACTTTTAATTGAAAATAATTTATAAATACATTCTTAAAAGAACAAAGGCAGAAGGAAAAAAATCAACCTTACTGACTTGAAAAAATCAGAGTTAAAGTTCTTCGTAGGGTCTGTCCAATAACAGCATATTGGGCCACTTTCAAAGTCTAAATATTTTAACTTCTCAGAACCTGTTGGAATTCATTCTTTAAAAGTCCTGAAGAGTAGAACTCAACTGCCAAAAAGTTCCTCTTCAGTTAAAATTACGATACCTGAGTATTCAAAAAGAGTCAAGTCCTGCCTAGTGGACTGAGTAGCTCTTTGAGTTCTGCCCAGAAGCCAAGGTGATATAGAGGTGGGGATTAATTAGCTATATCTGTTCTGAGCACAAGCAAGATTATTGGTGTAACTAGCACTGGACATTCCTGTACTGGTCCTAATTTAGGGTACTGTCTGTCCTATTCATTTCTGTAAATCCAGTGGCCTGCAGAGTGTCTACCTTGCAGCAAGCATTCAGCCTGCTTAGTGTATACTTTGGTGTATAAAACCCCATACAAGGGAGTCCAGAGGGATCTTCAGAACTACAGATGAGTGAGTTGTTTCTATTGCCAGTTGGCAAACCAAACAGAGGTTTTAATTATTAATCACTCGGACAAAATATGTGTTAGAGAAAAGGTGCGGTTTGTGATGGCCAAGTTCGCTGACTAATCTGTGTCTTTCGAAGAGGGTAAATTTGTAACTGGTAAGATTGTTAAGATGACGTAGCCTAGCCCAGCAACTCAAATGGTGGGTGAATGCTAAATAACAATAAAGTCATGAACTGTTGCTAATTAATTTTGAGTAACAAAATGCAAAACCAGCAAGGGAAAATTGTGTAAAATGTCATAAGGCTGTAAGTGGCTGAGAAGTTATTTGGGCAAATAATAATTTTACAGGAAAGTAACCTGGTGTATACTTGTACACCATGATAGGATTTGAAGTTTTCAGTCACAATGACCCAGGGATGCGCATCAACATGAATGGCTATCTGGAGACAATCTAATGTGCCACAGTGGCCCAACCCTGGTATTCAACTGCCAAAAAGTTCTTCTTTAGTTAAAATTACGATACCTGAGTATTCAAAAAGAGTCAACTGCGCTAATGAGAATGAAATCTAAATATAAGACTGTGGCACATATGGATATTCTGCATATAAATATTTCAACAGGCATATAACAAAGCAAACCATTTAAGGATAAAGAGAAGCGAAGATTCAGTATGATAGTTCTCAAACCAGAAAGGATAGACTAGGAGGGGCTTGTGGGGTCAGATAAGCTGAGAGCTCCTCACCAAAATTCAGACAGAGAAACTACCGTGGAGTCTTTGAAACTTCAAAGGTTAAGTTACAGAATATGTTCTTTTTTAAAGCAGCTATTTCTCAAAATGACACAATTCAAAAAATTATTTTCTTTAGATTATATACTAGTAAGCATCCAAATCACCAAATTATCATATATTAATTTGCAGCTTTCAAAGAATTAAATACAGAAATCTAAATCTATACTAAATATAATGCTCTCTTTTTGATCATCCAGAGGGTGCTTTGGAATTGTGTAGAGTCCTTGGAATTGTTATGAGAAATGATATAATATCCCAAAGTGATGGTGTGAAGGTGAGGATATGCCAAAGGATATTCCACAAATTGCCCATTTAAATAAACATGAACTTTATTATTTGTTATTGTGTCTCACAGGGTAAAAGGTCATGCAAGAAGACAAAAAGCAAAAACTTACAGTAGTCACTATTCTAACAATAAAAATCCTGGTTATTAGCATTTATGAACAAACAGAAATTAGTTAAGACTTCACTGGTTAGGTACATCAGAACCACAATTAAAGAAAAGCAGGAGACCTTTAAATCACTACAATCTTCTAAAAGAGACTGAGAGGTCAACCACCGCACTCCCCCAAACTTCCTGGGGCCGCAACCAGCAACAGAAGAGCAGGGTGGAGGAAACACGGGTGATGCACTGCAACAGACTTCTGAACAATGCCACCATGGGAAACCCTACACCGCCTTGGTAGAGAGAGTTAAGGCTTGAGGTTTTAAAGCAAGTACACTGCAAAGAATAGACCATGAACAGCACTGAGAACTTTTGGGGAGGCAGCAACATGGAGGGAGACAGTAAGTGATTATTTTATCCCTTTTTGTACCTTTAGAATTTTGAACTACATGAATGTATTATTACTCAAAATGAAAGTTAAATTTTTACATTAAAAATAAGTAATACTTATCTTAAACCAGACTGAGCTATTTAAAGATCTGAACAAACAAATCAGGAGGACCCAATATTTTCAGTTTAAATATGATTTCTACATTTTATAGTAAGTGTGACTGTTCCATAAAAAAAGAAATCTTAAATTGATCTTGAGTTTACTAAATGCTAAAGGTAATTCCTTGATGCCTTAATATATTTAAAGAGAAATTAATAAATGAGTTTTTCGTAAGATGCAGTCAACAAACATCTGAGCTACGTTTGACATCGAGACAAGTTATACAAAGTATATTTCATTTATAGTCATACTCTGTAAGTATAAATATATATCAGTCAGAGATATATATACAAGATAAAATAGACAAAATAAGGTGTATCTTTTTCTTTTTAATCCTCACCCAAGAACAGTGTCTTCAGAGAGAGAAAGAAGAGAGAGAAACACATTCATTAGTTGCCTTCTTGTACGTGCTGGACTGGGGATCGTATACATCCAGGATTGAGGACTGAGCACTAAGCCTGCAACCTAGGTATGTGCCCTGACTGGGAATTGAACCCGCAACCTTTCAGTTACGGGGCAATGCTCCAAACAACTAAGCCACACTGGCCAGAGCCAGAATAAGGTTTATCTTAATCAAGCATCCTCAGCTCATATTATACTTCCATAATATTTGAAAATAAAGAGGAATTGAAGCTTGCCATATTACTAATAAGTTCTTAATAAACTTTACGGCATGTTTTCTTCTAACTTAGAATGGTGAAAAGGAACTAAATAATTGAGCAACTATGTGCTCAGTACTAGCTAACTAGCTAAATGCTTTTCATATGCTGTCACATTTCAATTTTTATAACCTGGTGAGGTAGGTATTATTCCTATTTTACAAATGAGAAAACTAACGCTTCAGAGAGGCCACACCCTTAAGAAACTGGTGGAGTGCAAGATTCAAACCCGTATCTGTCTGAGACCAAAGTCCATGCATTTCTCCTCTGAAAATAGGAAGCTGAAAAGGGAAGAAGTGTTACAAACTTATCTGGTGAGCAGCGGTTCCCAAATCATGTGAGGGACAAGAGACAGAGTGATTATGTGAGGACTGGCAATGCAAGGGTGGGCAAAAGTAGGTTTACAACTGTGAGTACGCCAAACACAAAGAGCTTATTCTTGTAAAATTATTTATTAATTATTTCCATACAAACTCTGGAAGCCTCCTTTTGACCACCCCTGTATCTGACAGGAATTTCGGCTGGAGAATGCCCTGATTTATTTAGCATGTGCTTTAGGAGACAATATGGTGGCAGTGTAGAAAACGAACTTGGAGGAGGAAAGAACAGAGACAAGAGACCCCGCAGAAGCTATTTCTAATCACACACTGGCAGAAACCTTTAGTCTTATTTTAGTTCTTTCCTCCTCTAGCTGCCATCACCACAGAAAACATCGAAGTGTTACAATATACTCATAAACAACATGTTTTTTTCCCCTATGTCATTCCCCCCCAAAGACAGCTCAGTTAATTCATTCAATGGGTTGGCCAGTGATCTTAAGAGTCAAAATTAACCACATTTCCTTTATTGATATTCAATCTTTCTAAACAAATGTCAATTAAAAAACATTCCATTAAAAAATATTCTGGTTATGTCACATCACAATTTAATGTAGTAACATTTGAATAAAATCTAAATTTTAAATCCTCATTTGCAGGATCAGTCAACAAATGTGTTAGGTACACAAGTGAACAAAACATCCTCCTTAAGGTCTGTGGGGGCCTGTAACCATTTTTATCTTTACTATTAACAGCAAAGGTTGACGTAACACAGGAAAGTTATCAATGAACCAGCAGAAGGGACATTCCTCAGCCAAATGAACTCAAAACCTTTCACCTAAAAATAAAGGGGCCTTAAAATAATGGCGGGTAAACAGAAACCACACAAACCTAGCACAAGAACCTGAGGGTCTGGATTCCCCTAAAGTCCCATAAAACTCCAGAGGACAGCCATTAAATACCAAAGAGTCAACAAGATTCTATCTATACGAATGGGTCCCAGGTTCCACGAGGGTGGGGAAGACCTTCCGGGTCCCCTGGAGCGGGGGACCGGCTTGCGAAGGACGCAAGTGAGGAGACAGCCGGCACCAGAGGGAAGGAGAGCTGGGTCAGCACAACTGTGGCAAAGGAATGCGCCTCCATGGCTGCACTGCATTTCCTAAATGGACTCCATCACTACTTCAGAATGGTTTAATTCTGAAATCGCTGTTCATACCAATGCAGGATAAAAATATATCAGGATTTGACAAAACAGCTCAACACCTTCTATAAAAGCCATCATATGAAACACATTTAGGTGATGGGTATTTGGAACAAAAGCAAACATTCTTACCTTTCACAGAGCCACCCTGGGCATGCTGAGGAGTGGAGAGTCTAATACCATTTATTCTACTATTCAATCTGTTGTCAGTTTTCTTAACTTTCTCCCTAAACCAAAAGCATACACATTACCAACATTTTTTATAAGGTTCTCTGGAGAATACATTATGTACAATAGTATTACTGAAATTCCCCTCAAAACTTTTTATAATTAAAAAAAGGTTTTTAAGAAGGTGTAATCTAAAAGCAAGATTTAGTGTACAGTTCTGAGACTTTTGCCCCTCCAAACTGAACACAGTATTTGACAGTAGCTTTATTTTTATCATTTTGCACATGTTGATTATTTTGAACTACAAAGTAAAGCCTGGAAGTAAAAATATAAAGAAAACTGATGGGGAAATACTATTTACTATTTATAAAACATGAACTAAACATGCCCATAATCAAATGCTATATGTTGTCCTTTCTTCCCAACTTCTATTACAGGGGACGTTAAATTGAACCTACTTTTCTACATGTGGCTTTCCTTTCTTCTTATTTATTGAAGATAAACTTCGTTTATCAGGTGAATGCTAGTGGAAAGAATAAAAAGATATCAAACAGACTAAAGCTAAACTTCACTCCTGTAGGTACCCTCTTATTCTGATATCAACATTGAAACAAGATACATCCTCAGTTATTATAAATCCTAATAAATTTTGATTCCCAACCTATTTTTGAAGTTACCTGACTGAACCACTGAAATTTTTATATTCCTTGATAAATACTTAATATATAACAATCATGAGAAAAACATCTATTTAGTATTTGCTTTTAAAATGGACCTGTATTCTTTTTTTTTTTTTTTTTTTTTACCACAAAATAAAACACAATCAAGTAACTGGCATTTGTTATAGGTGCACTAGTATTTTCTTGAAGTTCAGGTTGATAAAATTGCAATGTACAATTTTTTCAGCTCTAACTAGAAAAACTGCACAGGCACTGAACTGGAAGTAGAAAAAGTATAAACAATGTATTTTAAAAATAGGTCATTAAATATGTATGGCTAAGATAACAAATAATTTCTCAAAATATTCTTTAATGCCTTAGGCCATAAAAACACATTCCTGTAAAGGTTAACATTTGGATCTGAGTGTTGTTGAGAACTAGAATCAGGCTAACACATCTCTCTTCTGGAGAGAACAGGGCTCCCTCCACAGCTGCAACAGCAGGCACTACCTCTTGTGCCTGGGGTGCCAAATGACTGACACGCACGCATGGGCACTGGACTCCCGCATCATGCCAACCCCTGAAGAAGCACATCTGTCCTAGTTAACCCCTGGGAGGCCCAGGAAGCTGGCCCAGCGACTTGTGCAGGAAGATCAGTTTCAATATTCACAACACTAGTATCAATATAGGGATACAAATGTGAATAATTCTTTCAAAAATAAAAATATTGGCATAATAATTAAATGCATCCCTAGTTAGAATCAACATTTTAACCATCATATTAAAGTGTACTACCTTTTTTGAGCAATAAAAGTAATCTAAATAAACTTTTTCAGGTCTCAGAAGAGCTGAGATCCCGTAAACCAATTAAATTTAGAGTCTAACACGTAAACATCCCTTCAGTTCTTCTTACCAGATGTACCATCTGACATAATGCTGCTCACAGAACACGACTCCTACTGAGGCCCAGCGCTTTACCAGCCTGGCATGCAGACAGAATGAAGCCCCCAGATACCTGGTCAGCTAAGGCCACACAGTGCTCCGGGGGCGGGATGGCGGCGCAGCTCTGCTTCCTCCAGTCCACGACGCCATTCTGCTCGGAATACTGCACGGAGAGTCCGTCCAGTGGAGAACAACTTGTACCGATAGTGCTACCAAAAGGAAGGTTTACACAGGTATGAACACCTGTCCTTGGTACTCTAACCTACTATGTCAAACAATGAGGAGCTGTAGCAACCCTTGCTTTAGTATATTATTTTACAGAATACACCAAAGGAAAGGAGGAAAAGAATAGACTATGAGAATGAACTGGTATACAGCTATCTTATTAACTTAATAACTAACCCCTACCTCTAGGGAGGTGCACATTCTGTCTTTAGACTGTGCAATGGTCACCCTGCAGCACTTAGAGCTAGGGTTGCCCCCATCTTGAAGGAACCACTAAGGCATGGGAAGGGACAGGATAACGTGATTGAAAAACAGACAACAGACTTGGAAAGAAACTAGAGAATAAAGTTACTGTGCATGGATTTTGAAATAATAGTGCTTCGCATGATCAATGACTACAAGGTTGAGAATTTTGGAAGAATACTGGAAAACATAAAACAACCAAATTTAAGTCCTAGAACTGCAGAATGAAATGAGATTAAGAACTCAGTGGACAGAAACAGATGAAAACAATCAGTGAAGAGGAAACACGGTCAGAAGAAAACAGACTAGAGCACTGAGAGAAAAAATATATGGGAAATGCAGAATAAAGAAAAAGTTTAAGAGACGTGAGACATGGTGGAAAGTCTAACACAAGCACTCTGGGCCTTGGAAGAGGAGGCAAGAGAACAGGGCAGAAGTAATGTCTGCAGAGATCATGGCTTGGACTTTTTTTAACACCAAAAGGTGTCAAGCTTCAGACTCAAGAAGCAGAATTCATTCAAAGAAAGCTACAAACATACTGTAGGAAAACTACTGGAAACTAGATAATGAGAAAATGTTAAATAGAACTAAGAATCTGAAAAAGCACATTAACTTCCAAAGAGTGACCAAAAGACTGAACCAACGGATGCTGGCTGTCTTAAGTTTGAGCTCCCTCTACAAGCAGAATCTGGAATGTCACAACAGATTTGGGAGGTAATCCCAGGAAGCAGGGGCAAGGAATGGGGTGAATGAAATAGGACATGAGGAAAACCAACATGAGGGTCCATCACTGAGGGTGCCACTACAAGCAACAGAGGCCCAGACTGGCTGCAGCCTCCCCAAGCTTCCTACCCAAAGGGCAGGGAGTGGGAATTCCCTATCAGTTGAGGGCTGACCTCCAGGCAGACTCACTTGCACTTTCCAACTGTGCTTGGTGAGGGCCAGGCAGGCCCGACAGAATCAGCAGAGGCCCTGGGGCACAGAGTGGAAATTCTTGGGACAGTAGTAATGTGAAGGAGACAGAAATTACATAAGTGACTTTATGTGGTTTGTAACAGAAATCAGAGCTAGGCTGACAGGAAATGATGCAAGGGACCAAAGGCTTATATTGGAAGACAGTGAAACTAAAGGTGTACCTTGAGGATCCTGTGGGTTAGGATCCAGATCACAGCCATAAGGCAATTATCACAATAAAGCAGGTCACACAAATTGTTTGGTTTCCCAGTGCATATAAAAAGTATGTTCACACTATACTGTAATCTATTAAGTGTGCAATAGCATTATATCTAAAAACACAATGTACATACCTTAATTAAAACATACTTTATTGCTAAAAAATACTAACCACCATCTGAGCCTTAAGCAAGTTGCAATATTTTTGCTGGAAGGGGGTCCTACCTTCAATTTGTAAAATACACCGTACCTGTGAAATGTAATGAACTGAGGTAGGCCTGCATAGTTTCAAAGCACTAAGAGAAAGTAACTGCCAACCCAGAATCTTATACCAAGCAAAAATGTCAAAAAAAATAAATGTCCTCCAAAAAATGAGGGCAAAGTAAGTTTTTTTACAGATAAAAACAAAGTAAGCTCATCAATGGCAGATATGATTACAGGAAATAGTCAAGGGTTCTTCAGAGAGATGGAAAACAGTCATAGATACATACCCAGACACACATGAAGGAATAAAGAACAATGGAATGGTCAATGCTAAATTAATGAAAAAAGGTCTCATGAGATTTAAAATATAGATAAAACACATGACAGCTATAGTTTGTAAGCTGGGTGGTGATACATTAGTGACCAAAGATCCTCACTTGGTAAATGGTACAAGCACAATTAATATCACACCTTATTAAGTCACAGATGTACAATGTCATATCCAGGGTAACCACTGGAATAACTGAAAGACACTATGTAACTATCAAAATTATATAAAAGACAGAATAAAAACCACCCAAAAGCAGGAAAGAGAAAAGAAAGCACAGGAAACCTACAACAAATGGCAAGCAAATGGTAAAATGGTAGAATAACAACCAACTATTTATCAGCAATGAAAGTAAATGAGACACTGAATTAAAATGCACTGGCATCTCTCCTTTCAGGAATGAAATACCTACTTCACAGTAGGACTTTTCCCGGTGTGTTTCTTATGGATTACAGTGTGCTGTAACACATCTAGAGCAGAGAAAAAACAATTTATTATACCAAATGCTTCTGCAAAAATCCAAAAGGATCATGCAATTAATTTATGTGACCATAACAGTGTTTTTCACACAAAATTCCTTAAAGCATCAATTTTTCAAAAGAGACAATGATTGAATTTCCTTAAATATCCTCTCAAATGTGTTCACCTAATAGTTAATCAATTTTGTCCAAAACTTTAACAGTTAACTATGAGCATGCCACTGCAAAACTACACCATCCAATTTCAGGCTTTAAAAAAAAATTTTTTTTAAATGAAGTGTCTCAAATATTAAAAATACACATCGATCAGTACAACAAACACCCATGCGTACCCACCTCCCCGATATCTCTATATGTCTCTTTTTATTAAGAAACAAAATAGCACAAAAGCAGCCAAGGGCCCTCTACCAGCCCGTTTAACTCCCTCTCTCTCCTGAGGTTAACTCATTGAAGTATTCTAGTGCCCATTTTTACTTTAACTACACACATATGTATTCACAAACACATACAGTGGTGTTGTCTATTTGAACATATTATAATTATTTTGAATGACACCTAGAGTGCCTACGAATAAGCCACAATTTACTTATTTAACAGTCAAAGCATTTGGGTTGACGTCCATGTATTGGCTGTTACACCAAAGGGGCCTTGAGAACCTCAGCCCCTGATCCCTGACACAGGGACAATTTTCCTAGAAGCAGAACTTTTGGCAGTAGCATAAAATTAATTACCTCCAACTTCACCACAGTGTCAAATTTCTGTCCAAAATACTTGTGCCAATTTAAATCCCTGTCAGCAATAGATGAGAATTCCCATTACTTCATATCTTTGATGTCGGACAGAAAATGTTTTGCCAAACTGAAGAGTGTAAAATGATACCTTTTTGCATGTATATATGTAGGTATGTATGTGTTTTACTTATTTTTCTATTGACTTTATTGGCTGACCTTTATTAATAAAACTATATAGATTTCAGGGGTATAATTCTATAGTATATCTGTATATTGCAGTGTGTAGTCACCATACCTAACTCTTTTTAATTTGCATTTTTCCAGACTACTCATGAGATTGAACACTGTGTAATGGCTTTTCAAGTTTCTTCTTCTATGAATTGTCTATCTTTTGCAAATATTGCCAATCAGGCTGATTTTCTCCTTGACCTTTAGAAGAATCTTTCTATAGCCTGGATGTCATCTTTATCTGTAAATACCTTGCCATTATCTTCTAATCCTATGATTTCTTGTCACATGTTACGTTCTAATTTAGAGTAGAAAGAGCTCCACTATGGTCATGCTTTGCCTTGTCAAGAAAGCCTTCTTGTCCCAGATTAACATTTAAAAATTTAAGTTTTGTATTTTACATATTGCATTAAGTTATGTTACATATAATTTGTCATTCACATGAAATTTCTGTGCATGATGTAAGTAGGGATCTAATTATGTATTTTTCAGTTGGAAAGCCAGCCAACACCATTCACTGAATAGTCTCTTCTTTCCCCTCTTGCTTGTGATGCCACCTGTCACATTCCCAGTTGCCATATGTCTGTTTCTTGGCTCCTTAATCTGCTGATGGTCTGTTTGCCTATCCCTGTTGCAACATCAGGCAGAATGACCTATTCCAATGAATCAACATTTACCTTCTTCTTGACTTGAAGCTTCTGAGCTGTCTTCTTTCAAGTGTTCTAATATCTTGGAAGTCTTCAGAGAGGACTGTAAGTTATCTGTGGAAAGTATTCAGTTCCGTTAATTTTTTGGAAAATTATTATAGAAAGATGCAAAAAACAAATACAATGATTATTTTCCTCCTAGGGAAGATGAGAGCAGAGAGTCAGTAGCACAGGACATTTCTATTAGATAGAACCTTTAAGAAAGCAAGATGACATAGGACAAAACCCTGTGCTGGGAGAGGGGTCCTGATTTGTGAAGCCAGGTCTCCCCATTAAAACCACAGGACTGGAGCAAGTTACTTCACATCTGTCAGCTCGCCCTACCCACTCTGTGCTTCTCAAACACTGCAGTGTGGTAAGGCTTTTTAAAATTGCTAATCTGTTGCGGGCCATTACTTTTATGAAAAACACAACAATAATGTTGTGGCAATGTCAAATCGCTACCAAAGACTCGGGGTCTACTCTCAGCCTCCCTTTTTCTACTCCAGACCCGTGACAAGCACTCCGTGGACCAGCACAACCCACAGAACACACCGTGACAGCAGTGGATCACTTCTCCATTTAAATACGAGCCGGCGGGATGCCAGCGTTTCACATTTTAAGTCATTTAGGAGTTTAACATTCGTTTTCTCAGTTGTCAGGATGTGGAATGTTGCTCTCTATCCCACAGGAGAAAAAGGTGGAGCTGTTACTTTTCAAAAGAGCAAATGCAAATGAACTTGGACAACATGTTCTCTGGTAAAACCACTCAGACACCCTGACCAGATTTTCCATGATTTCAAAACATGTACTTTTTTTAATACATTATTTTCACAACAATTTGAGACAAAATCTACCAGCTTACTTAGCATTCATTGCTCACGTAATTTAAATACTGCCAAGCTCTCAAGGTGCATTTTCTGTTGTTTGTGTACATACTACTCACTTGGGTGAGGTTTCCCGGGCAGCCTATTGAAATCTGAGTCAAAAGTCTGACTTTGTGCTCTAGTGCCTTTTTAGAACTAAACAGCCATGATTTATAGGGAGTCAATAAAAAGTACTTAAACTTGGTTTAAGCAGAAAGCGCTGATTGTTAAATCTATATACAGCTCTAGAATGACCAAGATTCTTTTAAAAAAGCTATAGCCACTATTCAGACATAAATTGAACCATGTAGTTGTTCATCTTGTTTTAGTCTACTAGTCATGAAGAGTCATTAATTCTAATTGCTACTTAGCTGTTTAAAATACTTAAGTCATATAGATACACACACACACAAATGATTCAAAAACTGTAAAAGTTAACCCATATGTTATAATATCTAATCATATATTTTTACCTCCTTCTCTCCCATCTAAAATTGAGAAAATATATATTTTCTTTCTCCATTAAATACAGGAAAACAGGACTTTCTTGAAAGCAGAAGGAAAGATTTTTAAAAAAACAAAAAACAAAAAACTTAGCCACTTGCCATAATGGCTGTGCTTAAAACTAGCAGAAATCACCCTAAAGCGAACATCAATGTTACTGGCAAAATACTTGTTTAAAAAGGCAGCTGATATAAATGTGTATAAAACTAAACACAATGCAGACTGATGAATGCTGAAACATAAGGGCAAAATCAAACTACAGGATCATAAGAAAAAACTAGAAAATCTTCATGAGGTGAAATTTCAGTTGGGTCTTAAAACAGGTGTGATTTTAACAGGCTGTGACAAGAGGAAGGACTTTAATTTCGGGTGCAAAATGAGCCAAGACACGGGGACAGGACAAGGCAGGGTGTACAGAGTGCCCATCCCACCTTCCGGCAGCCAGAGCACGGGAGACGAGCCTGTCACGGGAGACGAGCAGGTCAAGGAGGCTCCAGGCAGGGCTTGAATTTCACACCAAACCGTGTTTAAATAGGTGATCAACAAATTGACCCCTGGCATAATCCCGGGATACAATAAAGCACAGTGAGAATTAGACCATGAGAGAAGCCAGGCTTTGCATAGCCTCTACGTGAAAAAAAATAAAGGCCTCACTGCCAACAATGGGACTGGTCAGGAAGGGGTGAAACAGAAGGCGTCTTTTGTCTGGCGTGGCTTGGCCTTTAAATGATTGCATAGGAGGAGGAAAAATGAATAAGGCCAAGGTTTGCAGCCTGGGCATTCACTATGGGAACAGAGGACCCAGGAGGAAAGGCAGGTCATGGAGTGTGTCATACGCCATGCAGCCAGCACTGCTGCACTTTTGCCACCTGTCCACGAGGTCTGTCACGGAACCTGGCCATCCTGCATGCCCATGAGTTTGAGAGGCTTAGCCCTTGCCCTGGAATCGTCCTGTTTTGTGACATTAGCTTTTATACATTATTTTCTGTAGAAATGCAGTGTAAAATTCACTTAAAACTACAAATGTTTCTTAATGGCATGCCTCTATTCCTTGACTTCAACGACCACCCCACACAAGATGGCATGGTAAAGCAAGAAACGCGGGCAGGAGAAGCAGCAGGGACAGAGGGGCAGGAGGCTTACTCAGGCTGTGTCGGGGGTCCGAGGACAGGGACTGAAAAAAGGTGTGCACTTTCTGACTCTGCAGGAAAGCCTGTGATGAAGTTGAAAATAGCTGCCTGCACATAAAAAGAAAAGAGGCTTGTTAATTCAAGTAACATAAATACACAAGAGTCTCAGTTTAGACTGTAAAGCAAACTTAAGTGGCAGTTTAATTCAGGTATAGAAAAATAAATTGTTTTCCTAAGGAAAAGAATATTATTTTCTAATTTATTTCCCATAGGAGGAACTGAAAAAAAGTTAACAAAACATTTGCAAGAATCTAATAAACAAGCTTATTTTTAATTTTACATAATCTAATGGTAAGGTTTTAATTCTGGCAAAAAATGTATGCTATTTCAGCCTTTGTCCAAGTGGCCCAGCCTCTCTGCTCAGAAAAGGAAGTGCAACCTCTGTACTCTTCTTTGTAGTAGTGACTTTTCATCATTTGGTAGTATGGAGAAACTCTGAACATAGGAGGTTGGGAAGTTTGAGATGCTGAAGAGTCCTGGAAGGTATAGAGTGTAATGGTCAGGTTAGTTACAAGTATTACTACATCCTAAAGCAGGACTAAGTGGCGATTCACTTCAATGCGCATTATACCATGATTCTAAGCTCTTATCTTTGAAAACAAACTTTCCTATAATTAAAAGATTCCAACTGGAGGCCTTCCCTACAAAAACGGGCATACTTACTGTACAGTCTGACGGAAAGCTTACTCATGGATCTAAACACCAGCTCACCACTTAGCTGAACCACCCTACACAAGCCTTTCAGCTTCAATTTCCTCATAGGGATACTGCTAGTTCTTCAAGGTTAAGACACTCAAAAAGTATAGGTACATTAAACTGTCATTCTGCTGCTCGACATACAAATCCCTTCCATTACTTCTGAATACTTTAAATGCTCACTTAAAATTTTAATTCTTAATTTCTCCCCAAACTTTTGACCTATCATTCAGATTAATCATAAAATCATTAAATCCTATACCAAGATATTACCCTCTGGGCCAAAGCTACCTTATACATAAAGCAAAACTGCTTCTTGGTACTCAAATATGGAGATAAATGTTCAATAGGAAGACAAAAAAAGGAAATGAACAAATGGAAGAAAAATTGAGATATTAAGTAAGGAGCTAATCTGAATTTCCAGGTCTGAATACACTATCTAAAACTGGGGATTAGAATCCAAAGGCAGTAATGGAACCTATTATCCAGTTACATTTACAAACCAGTCGGTCACAAGGACAAGCAGGCACACCTTCAATTCAAGGCCCAAGAAACAGCCCAGATCCCACCTACAACTCCACATGCCCACTGCCAATCCACTACAGGAACCACGCCTGAGACATGGCCTCGGGCTTGCAGTCAGTTACAGACTGAAGTCCAGTTCATTAACTCACGGCCAAAACATAGCAATTATACCCACATTAAAAAGTCAAAGTGGCCACAAACTACTTAATAAATTAAATAAGGAAAACAGTATCACATTTTGACATGACTGATCATCTAACCCCTAATGCATGTTCCAGTGCCACGTTCTCCTTTTCCCAATTACAGAGTATTTGGAACTGAATGCAACGTGTCCTTCCTGTCCCAACTCATCTCTACTCCACTTACAGACTCATTTCCTATTTCCCACTCGCACTGTCCCCCCTGCTTTACAATTGCTATTTTTTCTTAAGTGATAAATGATAATACAAATCTAAAATTCACAAACTGAGAAGGAAGTGTCCTCACAACCTATCAATGGTGTTGTGAGCACAGGCTAGACAGACAAATGAATTAAAAAAATGATTCTAAAGATTTTTTGAAAATGGCCATATTTTTTAAAAAATTTTAATATAATTTCAGGGAATAAGAGCTTTCCCAAGCAGAACAGAAAACCCCGAAATCATAAAAGACTGAAAAGAAAATCCCACTGTAATACATACATAAAATTTTAAACTGTCTGCATGTTCAAGAAATGACAAGCAGGGCTCTTTTCTTTAACATAACAAATAACTCTTACAAATCACTAAGACCAATAAAAAAAGTGGAAAGGACTGAAAAAGGCATTCACAGCAGATTTTTGTAAACAGCCTCTCAAATAGATTACAGTAAGACAGTCTTCCTTTTTCAGACTGGCAAAGAGGATAAATGGAGAGTATTTTATGTTTGCTGAGGTGTGGACACACAAATACAAGGCTTACTGGGGTATAAAGTGTTGCTACCACCTTAGAAGTAATTTGGAAATACTGTAAATTAAAAAATGCATAATTTTGACTGAACAATTCTAGATATATTTCTTATAGATATATGTATCAAATGTGTTATGAAACATTAATGCAGACATTCACTGTAATAGTATTTGCAATAGTTTTAAAGTATTTAGAAACAACCAAAAGGCTGTAAAATAGACTAATTCAGTAGCTACTAAAAATGGAATACTAGGTAGCAAATAAAAACCAAGGCAGCAATCTTATACGCTTACCGACCTGTTACCATGTCCAATATGTACATTTAATGAAAGGAGTAAATGTCAGAAAAGTGTATGGGATAATTCAGTTTGCACAGTAAATACAAATACACAATTTCAAGGGTGCATACATGCACAGAAAAATTTCTGAACAGTTACATGAGATTTTTAATGAAAGCTACTTCCAGTGACTAGATCTGGAAACAGGGACATTGGACTTTTCACACTACGCCTCCCTGTGCATTCTTCACAAACAGCTTAAACAACACCTTTACAGTGGAAAGTCTAGCTTAACGTACACCCGCACCATGATGATCACTGTGGAGACCCCTAAAAGCCGCAACAGGGATCAGCAGACCTCTTAACTGCAGTCTTGGCCAAGAGCCTAATTTCTGAAAGCGGCTCCTTGTGGAAATATTTTCTCCTTTTGAAAACTTCAAACTTACAGAAAAGCTACAAATACAGTAAAAAGGATTTCCCCACCCGAACCATATAGCTAATCTCTGATGCCCCAACACCTGGTAAGACATCAGTATCTCCAACAAAGACACTGTCTTACAATCAGTATCAGGACATGAACATGGAAAAATGACGACCTCCTCACCCTTGGACCCCAAGTAAGATCTGCAAGTCCCTGAAGTCTCCTTGTCCCACACACACCCAGTTCAGATCCTGTATCTTCAATTCCGATCAGATACTCCAGGGTTCATGCTGGAGGAGGAGGTTTTCTCCTTCTCCGTACTGTGGCTCCCTTCTCCAACAAAAAGAAAACTGGTTCTCACTATTAAGCCACTTACTAATTAGGCCGATCCCCCTGCAGCAATGTCCCTCCCACTGTCACTGCTGCTCCCTCCCAACCTCTGTGCAGAGCCCTCCTGGTCCCACCCAGGCTCCCATGCCCTGCTGGGGCCACCTCCATGGCTCTGCCCTTGGAGCCGCTTGAGCAAGACCTCCCACCTGCACCCCTGTGAGCTCCTCAGGCTCCTGTCTGTAGTCCCTCAGGGCGCACCCCCGGGCCTACACGGCAGCCTACTGCGCCCTGTCCCGCTGAATGGCTTTAGGACTCAACTCCTCAGGAGGGACAAGGAAAAGAGGACAGGGGTTGATGGTGGCTCTGTTAGTCCTTATATCAAAATTAACTCTAGAGGGCTCAGAGATTTAAATGCAAGGAAGAAAACATGAAACTTCTCATCTGCGTATGAGAAAACTTTGCAAGCACCACATAATACCTAGACACCATTAAAAACTGAAACTGAGTGCTCAAAAATCAAATTTCTGTGTGATGTAAAAAAGAAAATACACTATAATCAAAGTGAAGGCAAATCTCAAATTCAGAAAAATGAGTCACACAAAGAACCCGGGCACTGGCATTACAGGGCTGGACCAACGCAGGTGAGTGTATTTCCTAAAGCACATGTGCAACAACTTTTAAAATAACTGCTTAAGCTGAAGAACAAACACCGGAGAACATGGAAGAGTATTTTAAACAGTACCAGGAGTAGGAAAAGCCAGATCCACCAGCTATTAATAAACTATAAAGCTCTAATAATTAAAACGTGACAATGGAACAAGAATGACAGACCAACGGAATGATAAGCCCAGGCATGTTATATGCCTAAGAATGTGGGATGAAGAATCATACAGGAAATCAACAATTTAGGAAGGAATCAATCCATCATTTGGAATGAGAAATAAACGGAGATCCATATGCTTTCTTAATACCTGCACCTGAACTGCTCGAATGATTTTAAACAATCACACAACGGACTGACAGCACTGTGATTTATGCATCTCCGGTCTCAACTGGACGCCAAACCCTGTTTAGCCACCTGGTTTCCTGGAACAAGGTTGCTCTCCACAGCCCCACACTAATATTCCAAATCCCTTCAACACTCCAACATTCGATCCCCATCCTCAATCCACCCCTTCTTTTCTTTCTTTTTTTTTTTCAACCCACCCCTTCTTAAGCATCTCTCTTACTTTAGGAAAAAAAAATACAAGCCATTAGGCAAGAGATTCCCTCAACTTTCCATCAGGGAACAAGCATATTTACCTATGTCCACACCCATCCTGCCTGTGGAGGGACCCTGTACCCCCCCACCCCCCGCCAACTGCATCTCTTCCTGCCTCTCCAGGCACCTGGGATGCTTTGGGAGCTAACCCTACACAGGGTTTGTGCCTCCCCCACCCCGCCCTGCTGACAGCACATGCAACACTCATCTCACCTGCACCGTCTTTTCCAATAACCCTTCACCTTCACAAGGGCAAAGCCCTGACCTTAACCGCCTGGGAACCTCAACCACCACCTCTGTGCCCGCACTCCCACTGTGTGGACCCATGGGTGCCCAGGGGAGCAGGCGATCAGGAACTGTTATTTCCTTTCTCCTTCCCGCCCATGGGCCTAATCTTACTTGATAACTGAAAACAAAACAAAGCAACACAAACACATCTCCAAAGTTGAGCTCTTGGACAAGGGTCTCTTTCAATAAATGTTTCACTGGCTGGTACGTGGGTATGTTTCACTGAATATCTGCACACTTTAGAAGCAATCATTTCTGATTTGAGAGAGGTGAAGCATACAATGAGAAAAGAGTTAGTTTGGTCATACTGTGAGAGCCCACGCCTAAGTAACACAAAGATAAAAAGTCCACCAGAGAGAATGTCTCTGGGCTCGGCCTCGCAAGGCCTCCGGACAGCCAGCGGTCAGTCTGGGGCAGCGCCAGGGCAGTGTCCGGTGACGAGTACCTTAGGATGGGCTCAAGATCAGGGTGTCGCCGCTCCTCCCGCTTCAGCGAACCCTGATTCAGGGCTCTCAGGATGGTCTTGTCAAAAGTCTCTGAAGACAACTCCTTGGGAAGCTGGGGAAGGAAGAGCATAGGGTCAGTGTTAGGGTCTCACTGGCCAGTAAGTGGGTATGACACAAACCACAGGCCTCAGAGGCAGACAGACGCCTCCTGCTCAGTCACTGGCCTCCCCAAATCCGGCCCCGGCAGCTCCGTTTCTCATCTGCACACGCAGGGCCCCGCAGGGACGCGGCACAGGCAGGCCCGCGGGGGAAACACCGTCGCCGCCCACCCCGGACCCCTGGGGCGTCCCAGGGAGCCGGGCCACCTGGCAGCACAGCACACTTCTGGGACGGCCTGCGTGGCCCTCGCCCTCGAGCTCCCACACGCCAGCCGAAGTGACGCCCACACCAAGGTTCTTCAGTTCGGGGGAGCACTCTGCGCAGCGCAGTGTCATTTTTACCCTCAAACAGCATTCTGAAAAGTGTGACCTCTGCCTGGACAGCTATGGCTTTTACGCATCCTTTCCCACTGCATCAGGCAACCTCAGATTACCAGCGCCAGACATGACACAAAGAGCTGGGTGTGAAAACGGAGTGAAAACTCTTACTCTAACCTACATTTTAAAATAAAATAATCTAAATGAAGGTTTAGTAACATTTTCCTCAATGTGATGGAGGCACCCTCAGAGAGATGTACAAGAGACCACCAAAAAACCATCATTTGGCCAAGAAAATTTTAAAATTAAAAACAAAATTTTAAGTCATCCTATTTAGTAACCAGTTACTTTTTAAAATTCTTAATATAATAATTCTATATAAAACTAACTTTCCAAGTCTTTCAAGAATTCAGGGTTTTACATTTGACTCTTAATTACTAGTCTTTGCAACTAACTCCTAAATTACTGCCAATTTCACTAAAATTAAGAGAAGAACCATTAACACAGTATCTAAGGAGCCCCAGGAATATAACCACCTATACAAATGGCTGAAGCAAATGGCTGATGTACATATTGATCTTTAATTGGAGAGTCAGAATTTTGAGTCAGCAATTCAGAAATGGAAAATTCACCCAAAGTAGCAGAAAGCAGTACTGATTTTAGGCACAGTGAGACTGTGGAATCAAGGTGTTCCGAGGGAATGAAACTCCTGGTCCTCTCATCAGCCTGTTGAGGTGGAAGGCTCTGCTGGCACCGCACACCCCTGGGGTCCTCCGATCACTAACAGGAAGAATCACCTTCCAAATCTACACATTTTCCATAGAAATGACTACTCATTTCAGTGTTTACATTCTGATATTACTGTTTTGGTAGACTTAGGACACCAGACAGAGAATGCCCACATTAAGCACGATATCTCCTGAACATCTGCACCCAGCCCAAGGAAACCAGCCTGGTGGGGGAGTCTGTTCCCACTACCCAGTTGCTGAAGGCTCTTCTAAACCCAGGAGGGCGGGAGGACCTCAATTCCCACCTGCCCGATGACTGTTCCGGTGACTGGGCAGAGTGTGGATGTGTCGTCAGATATTTGACTTATTTTCGAGTGCGTTTTATCTTTAATTTCCAGAGACCCTTTCCAGTACTAAGGGAAGGCATATTTGCTGAAGAGAGAGCTTTCCATCATGTCTCTTCTATCCCAGTCACTGTTTCGGATTTCCTTGCCTCTAGGTCGTGGTCCCAGCACCCCCAGCCTCCCGTCCCTGGCGCCCCAGCTCAGCCGCAGCACAGGCTCAGGCCTGGCCACCGCAGGCTTGTCTCCAAAAGACATGGAGGTTTGCTAGGTAACTCCCTCCAAGACCTCATCACAATTTAGTTTCTGTTAACTCCTCGTTCACTCATGCAGCCAACAAGTCTTCCAACGCCCCCCGTCCCAGGTGCTGGTGCGGGCACTGCGGGTGCAGTAGTGAAGGAAGACACCAAGTCCTGCCTCCACAGAGCTTCTGCGTGGCTGCAAGGACACCGGACAGGCTGTCAGGCCGTTGCTAAGGAGCAGCGGGTGAAGGGGGCTGGAAGACGCGGGGAACAGAAGCTGCCAGCTATGAGAAAAGAGAATTTGAAAGCACTGACCTCAAACTCACTCATCTATATTACAGCAAACTAGAAATTTGGTTCAAGAGCAACTACAAAAGTTAGAATGCACAGCTTGTCAAAAGAACAGTTTTTGCTCTTCACGTGTGTAGGTGACTTTAAAAGGAGAGTAAAAAATAGACAGATAGAGTAAACTTGAAAGTGTACCTGAAGCCAGCAATACAGTTCTAGAAGTAGACAATGTCGCCCATTATTTCATATAACCTGGTAAGACATTTGTCCTATTTTAGAAAAATACCATATTTAAATGTTGGCTAAGCTGGGGAATAATTAATCACCATGACTCCGAAAAGTGAATTATTTGAAGCTGTATTTTTTTTCAAGTACCTAAGCTTTTAGAAAAATTGTGTGACGAAAATGAAATGTGTTAAGACAAACAGCAGCCGAAGTTTAGTGAAACCCAGAGGGAGAGCCTCTGCCCAGGCGCCAGGTGGGGTGTCGGTCACGTGCTGTCTCAGCACAGGGGACAGGCAAGCAGCTGCCCTCTCAAACAGGCTGAGGAGCCAGCGGGTGAGGGTGGGCAGAGGAGCCACGCCCGCCTCTACACTGTGTGTGTGTGTGTGTGCGTGCGCTCACGTTCTGGTACTTGGTCCAGCCTCGGCTCTCCATCCCCTGCGACCCGCCCTCCGGCACCAGAGCTCGGTCACAGGAAGGGCAACAGAAGGTGGGAACACGAAGCACGCGGCTAACCCACAGGAGCCTGTTCCTGAGTATGCCTGCCCTTAAACTTTGATAAATTTACCCTATCAAGAGAGAAAAGTCACCAAGACCGAGGAGAGAATTTGAAAGCGCGTGTGTGGGGTGGGGTGGGGCCGCCTTGCCTTACTCCTCAGTAGGCAGAACATCGGCCAGGAGCGCCTCTCCTGCCCATGGCCTCAGCCCTGGATGTCAGTGCTTGCCCACTGCTCCTCCCCCGCTCCCTGCCTCTCTCCTTAGAGCTGGCGGTCTAAGGCTGACATGTCGCATGCCTAGGACCTTCTGCAACTGGAAATGAATAACCCCCCATCTTTACATGTGGTTAGGCTGCCAACTTGAAGTGGGTGAAGGAGCCCACAGCCCTCGCCGGAGAGTCCGGCTAAAACAGCCACAGGAAATGGCAATACTCAAGCTGTCCCTGGGAGCCCTCGCCCAGTGGGGCCAGCACTGTGCTCCGCGGAGCCCACGCCCACCGTGCTGCACACAGCCGAGCAAACCGGCCACAGCCAGCCTCTCAGCTTCACGGGCCAACAGAGACCCGTGTGACCTGAGCAAGCAGACATCTGGTAACAGCAGACAACGGGAATACCAGGACTGTCCTGAGCATTTCATGTTATTGGTTCAATAATTATGTCGCACCTTTACCCGAAAGTTACTAATTGAGTTGGGAATGTTTCCTGCTTCTGGACTCTGTCTTATCTCCGTATTAACAATAAATTTTAAAACATTTGCTTATTGAGAAATAGTAATTTATTGGTTAACCATTTAAACCTACTCTCTTATTTTAATATTTATCTCTTCCCACGTTTTTCTAAAAAATAAAATTAGTATAAAAGAAATAGATGTGAGTTTGCACAAAATGTTCTATGATACCATCCACCTCTGCAAGTCTGTAAGATGTTTTCATTATCCCTGATCTCAGTACTTTGGGGATTCTATCCTGGTGGGGAGCGGAGGGAGACCTGAACTCAAAGGAACAAATGGAGATATATTTCAGGAAGTCCACAGAGTGAGCTGCAGAGATGTTAGGTTGGAGAACCACTACCAAACGCAAACATGCCCCCATCTCGTTTTGCAGACACGCTCTTTCATAGGATGTATCCTGCAAGTAGCCACCGACAATGCACGTCTTGGCAAGGTAATAGAGGTAAGGTTTCATTTTTAAAAAAAAATGTTTAAAATCCTTCATCATTTCCTTATATTGGTAATGCAAGGTTAAGAAAACTTATGTTCAGAATAACATGACATTTTCTAACAGCCAATGTTCACGGAAAGTTCTCCAACATGTATTTTTTTTATTTGTATTTATTGATTTGAGAGAGACGGGGGGGGGGGGCGAGAGGGAGAGAAAAAAAGAGAGAGAGAGAGAGAGAGAGAGAGAGAGAAATTAATTTGTCATTCCGCTTATTGGTGCATTCACTGGTTGTATGTGTGCCCTAATTGGAACGGAACCTACGACCTTGGGATACTGGGACAATGCTCTAACCTGCTGAGCTGCCTGGCCAAGGCTGTATATATGTATTTTAATATTCCTGGTATTTATTTTGATATAAAGGTTTTTAGATTCTGTGTTATATGTAAAAGTAATTTTAACAAAAAAAATCTATACTTTTACCTTCAGTAGAAATTCCTGTAGTTCTTGGTAGGTTTTTGTTACTGTTGTCACCGACAGATCAGACCAATTTACCTGATTTAAAAAAAAAAACAAACACACACATATTATATGATTATTTCTTAGGCGGGGAAAAGACTGAAAAAAAAAAAAGCCACATGTAAAACCAAGAGCCTTACTTAAATTTCATTAAGATTAACAACTAGAAATATAAAGTTATCTGGCATTGTCATAATTTCCTCAAAATTTTAAAATTAACTGTATACTGACATATTCTACTCAAAAAAATTTTAGTAATGCCTTTCAAATCACATGGTCTTTTTAAAAAGCTGTTTTTAAAAAATATGTTAGTATATTTTAGTGATTTTCAGAAGGGGACATGCCTAGCACCCCTTCTGTAAGCTGCGGAACTCCATGCGGACGGCCTGACAGCACAGCCCCACGCCCCAGGAGAGGCAGAAATCCCACCTCCTGGCACTTAGGGAGTATGCATTCTTGTGAGAATAACTAGGGCTTACTGCCCCTCTTTGGCAAAACCATATTGTATTTTTATAGGGATTTCTGAAGAGATGTCATCTTTATCTCAATTCTTTAAAATCCTATCAAGGTAGATAGGGCAAGTAAGACCCATTTAAAGATGGAGAAACTAAAACTCAAAAAGGTTCTTACTTAGATTTGACTCTAAGTAACTACAAGTAGCCAGAACGAAAATCTAGAAAAAAAGTATCTCTTGGATACTTTTAATTCAGTGGACCTGATGGTGACCCAGTAATAATTCCTACTTCATACTTGTTTGAGCTAAGTGAATGCTTGAACTATGCTAATACCTAAGGCTTATCAACTAATTGTATCGCATTAATAATTAATCACTCAAAAATATATTAAGTCTTTACTTAGCGTCCTCAATAGGTTCTGTGACTTCAATAAAACGTTATGATATGACCTCTTTTCCCATAGGCTAACTAATACAAACAAGAGCTAGGTTCCTGGGGCACCTTAATTTCAGTGAGACAACGTGAAATGAAAAGCTGTTATGCAAGGACCTACTGGACATAGAAAATTTCACCTAGCAACCCTCACAGCAAATACCCATTAACTGACACATCTTTTAGATGATGTTTAGTTACTCAGTTATTTGCTGAGCAGCTCCTTGTGTCTGACACTGTTCTCAGTGAAAGGGAAACAGGAGGGGACAGACAACCGCCAGTGCTGCAGGCTGAGGTCAGAGAGTGCCGGGGACACGGGAAACAAATGGACACGTGAGGATTCCCGGCAGTGGCTGCGCACCGGAGAACACAAGTAGGGCCCGGCTGGAAGCACGTCGGCTGGGCACCGAGGAAGACCTCCAAGGAGGGAGTCTGTGAGCTGGTCTGACAGGGGAGGGTGGGTGGCGGCTGTGCCAGGGCCTGAGAGTGGATCGCTCCAGAGCAAGGGGACCCAGATCCTAAGGAAGGGACAGTCCCAGAGCTTCAGCACCAAGAGGAGAGCTGGTGAAACTGAACGCAGAGAGCAGAGCCTGGCTTACACCACAATGTTACAAAACGGTCAAGTGAAGAGTGGGGATAAATACCTAAAGTTTGCAAATGGAGGCCATTTCTCCCACAAAGCGGAAGCCAGAGTTCTGAAAGCTGTTCGACAGAAGCACTAAGTGAGCCAGACAGGGCGGGATGACAGAGGACGGTGGCCCGCTCGGCCAGGAGACACCCATCCGCCTGGAGACCAGGCAGGCAGCCCGAAGGCGAGACCCCGCACAGGCGGTGACAGTACTGGGCCCTAAATGGAAGAAGAGCCGTTCTGCTGGGGAGCAGACATGGCGTCATGAGAAAGGTGCAGCTAACATGTGGCCAGCAGCACCTCTGGGGAGGCTCTGAAGGGAGGACGCATAGCGTCGTGGCACCTTTCCCTTTGGTTCAAGGCAGGTAGGACCTCAGGAGAGAGGGACAGATGGGGAGGGCCGGGCAGGGAGGAGTAAGGAAGCCGTGACGAGGAATCCTCGTGACAATGAGCAGGCAGAAAGGAGACTGGGGCCTAACAGAGTTGGGCTCTAAGGTCACCTAGAGCTGCTTGAAGGGCAGGACGACAGGAGAGCAATTAGAGAGAAGAAGACAAGACCACAACAGCTGGGGAATAAAACCATGGAGAAAGAAAAAGAGGAGAAAAATAGGGAAAATAATGCAGGAAAAGACAATGCCTGGGATCCTTATTAAAAACACTGGTGAAAATGCTCGCTTTTACTTTTTAAAGATGTATCTTACACCTTACAACTAAGGCTCTGCCTTCTTTCTAATAAAATTGTCAGAGTCATTTTCATGTGATGGTACAATTTTAAAAACTTGGCCAACCACGCAGTATACACTGAAAGCAGTATATTCCCTTAATTTAGACAAACGTATACATATGAATAGCTTTTCTAAGTTAGCAAACCTGCCAGAAGTTTTTCCAAAGATCAATTTTCATTCTTTCCGAAAGATTATTTAACATGACAAATGAGGTATCTTTTGTGGGTGAGAGTAGCTTACTTCGAAGGTGTACTCCCAATATTTGTCAGCCCTTTTTCTCTGGACTCCTTTCAACATTATCTTCTCAATGTGTACAGCTGAAAGAAAGAAAACATGCTGACGTGTTCTACAGAGACTAGATACACATTTCAGTTACCCATGTGACAAACGCTAAACGATTAAGCTATTTATCTTCGTCTTTACTATTGCCCTTAAATCATGAAATAAAGCAAACAAACAAACAAACAAACCCCGAAGCATAGCTATGTGCCATCCATCCATGAATTATTTTTTCTCTATATCCATTTAGCATGCTGAGTGCCTACGTAGCTTCAAGCACTCTGCTAAGCACCAAAGATAAAAAAGATAAATAATGAAAAGGTGCTTGCAGTGAAGATTATTTTTCAAGATGATAATTCTGAACTGTTTGTTATTCATACTACTATAAATACAGCACTTTAGAGTCATTCAAAAGAAACAGTAGTTGAATAATAATGAGGCTGGTAGTAATGAAGATGATAAAGGTCTCAGGGAAGAAATTAGCAAAGTGACTCAACAGACAACCATCACTGTTGGATTCAGGGGCAGGATATGGACAAGAGGAGGAAAGGATTCACTTTGCCTTAGAGGAAGAAGTTAAAATAGATGAAGTAGAATATACAAAGTAACAAAAGTATCAGGAAGAGTTAAGATTGTTATAGATCACGGAAGGTGGGCAATGAGAAAGCAAGAAACACTTCGGATACAGAAATTTGCTGGTAAACAGACATCCATAATAAGCTATGGAGATCTCATTACCAGTATTTTGTGACACGTTTCCAAATATACAGTGTTTGGGGGCCTGCTTCTGGGCCAATTCCCCCTTAGTGGGTGAGATATGTTGAGAAGGGAGACAAAAGGAAACCTCCAAAGCCAGGTGAGAAGACTGTAACTCCTCCGCGCTCCCGCAGCATCAGAAAGGCCGAAGTGGGAGGGGAGAGTCTGCTGATTTTGAAAGCTTTTCTATTCAATTACATAAAGGATGATGCAATTAAATAACGGCCATCTGAACTAGTCTACGTTCAGAACCATCAAGCAGCTCTACTTCTGCACATCGGTGGGCTGTGGGCAGGGACACTGGGGCACTGTGGAGCACGGCTGTGTCTGCGGCCTTGATTTCAAGTCATCCTGCCGTGATCTATCAGCATCCGGACAAGGGGACAAAAGAGTGTGCGGTGCGGGATGGCTGACAATGTGAGAGCACCCTCCGACCTCCACAAACCACAACTAAAAAGCATGGACCACATACATGTGTTTAAAAACTAAGAATACAGAAAAAGTATACCACCTGAACTGTTAGCATTTTGATATGGTCGTTTTAAGAATATTTTTACTTCTTTTAAAAAAGGAACTTCATTGTAAAACCAAACTCTGCCTTAGGAGACTCACCTGTTCAGTGAGCTTGGCTGAAGTGATTCAAGTAGCTGAATAGTTTCTAATAGAACTGTAAGCTTTTTAAAACATTAGACATTCATGCCTGTTTTTCCTCTGTGAGGAAAAATGTATTACACCAAAAGGATTATTATTATTATTGGGACTAAAGAGAGACAAAATAATGTCAATTCAGAGCTGTGATAAGATGCTTTTCTCTTTCTCTCTTCCAAGGCAGACCAGGTGGCGGTCTACGTTTTCCATTTCAATTATTCCCTCAACACAGGTAATGGGCTCCCCAAATGCTAACAAAGTGTCTAGACTCGTTTCTTTTCCTATAGCAATATCTGCTCATTCTCTCGTCCCAGCCGTCTTGAAAATTGCACTACCACAGGGGGCATGGGCTTGCAAGAAATTTCTCTCTCTCAGAGCAAGCTGCTGTAAATTGAAATTGTTTCAGTAGACCCTGAGCAACATCCTGTAGATAAAGCCCTACACTAAATACTTTGGAAAGATGTTAAGGTCTTTGACCTCCAGAGATATGGAACCACCTTAAGAGAAGTGACAAGGCAGAGCCAAGAAAGCACCTGCCAGGACGGGCCACGTGCTGGGGCGGCAGAACCCAGGCACAGACTCAAGAAGGGGGAGGACTGACATTCGGTCTCAACCTGGGACCTGCAGGGCTTCTCTACTCCACGAAGCTGAGAGGAGAGCTGGCGCTAACCAATGTGCACAGCGCTCTGCAATCCTTCCATCCACAGATACTTTAAGTTCAAAAAGACAGCATACCTTCTCGCTGGGTTCTATGAGGCGCCACAGTAAGTCCATCATGAGGTATTGGGGCTTGCTCTATTAAACTGGCCTCGTTATTTTGCACGTAATCACCATGAGCGGAGTCATTCTAGATCAGAAAAGGGGGCACGTGTCAGTTGACTAGGAATAGAACATCGCATAAAAACAAACCAGATTCAAGTCTTATACTTTTAATAGCAACTGTTAGAGATCAAGTAGGTGATTACAAAGTAAGGGCCAAAAGATGCAAAGTTTCACAGCTGTAAGGAAAAGAAGTATCAACATGTATCTTCATTTAACGGTTATATTGTATCAATTATTCACTGTCCCAGTTTCTAAGGACATACTGCCTGCTACTACTCAGAATTGCCAATGCATGTCAATTCTAAACGAAAGTGAACAAGAATTGAAGAAACATAGTGAGAGATGGCAACCCTTTATGTTAATCCACCATACATAAGAGCAATGGTATCTTTTCCATTAATTATGATATAATTTTTATTCAATACTTGGTTTTAGGATCAATCTGACAAGACAGTTGGTTAGGGAAAAGTTCTACAGAAGGTACCATCAATACATGCCAAATCTTTCTAAACAAGAATGTGTGTGGACAATGAGTTTTTTACTTATGATAGACCACCTCACAGTAGCTGGGTGCGCGAAATCCAATTGAGTTTGCTCGGCCAATCACTAGTGAACTGGGGTGAGTTTTACTCCTGGGAGAACTGCCGCTTGAAGTACTAGACAGCATGCTAATCTACGCACAGCCCTCCAGAATCCAAGCAGTGTTGTGTGTATACTGCCACTATAGCACACTGCTTAAGACAAAAAATAAAACGGTTCTTTGTCAAAACTCATACCACGGTCCCCTTCGATCTTAAAACACTATCTCAAACTCAAAACCACCTCAATTTCAATTTCAATTACAATTGTACAAATTTGCAATAAATAATAAAATTCATGTTTTAAAATTGTGTAAAGAAATGAAGCAAACAGAACAGCCTAAACTTCCCGAGAATCCTCATTGAAAATATCTGGCTCTGCTGTCTGCCTGTGTGTCCCAGCCTGACAATGAGTCTGAGCTGCCGGCTGACAGGGCTATTTCTGGGAATGAAACAGCACATTAGATACTCTGGGGAGCCAGGCTGCAACCTCATACAGTAGCTTGTCTTCCTCCAGGAACCCGAGGAAACAAAGATTGTCTACACAGAACCACTTAATGAGAAGGAGAGCACAGGCCTCGTAAGTCAACACCCAACTTCTGAAACGTTTGGCATCATGGCTTTCACCACTTTCCATCATTGCTGATTTTTAAAAGCTGAATATAGGATCTCTTCCAACAGCAACACAGCTGACATATATCCTAACCAAGGCCATATCATCTGTACCACAAAGTAATAAAACCACACTGGCCTGATACTGCTGTAAGTACTTTAAAAATCAATGTAAATAAAGTACTACAATCCTCTCAAATACTTGTGTTAATTGGAAGAAGTTTAGTCGACGAGGTCAACCATTTCCTATACAGTATTTTTCTACCATGCTTATATGTGGTTCATAAATTAAAATATTACACACACCCTTCAAATATAAATAAATGCAAGATATGCAAAAACCAATAGTTTTCAATAAGGAAATGAAAGAGTTGAAACCACAATGATACGACTTCACAGTTACTGGGATGGTTATTATCCAAAAAACAAAAAACAAGTATTGGCGAGAACGTTGGGAAAATCAGAACCCTTGTGCACTGCTGGTGGGAATGGAAAACAGCGTGGCCGCCTTGGAGGACAGCACAGCAGCTCTGGAAAAAGTGAAACACGGAATCGCCATACGACCCAGCAATTCCCTCTCCAGCTGGGCACCCCGGAGAAATGAGACTGGCGCGGGGCACCTGTACTGCCATGTTCACAGCAGCAGTATTCACGGTAATAGCTAAAGGGAACAGCAGCACGGGGTGTGCATGTGTATACAACTTAGAAAGGAATGAAATTCTGACACATGCTACAACAGGGATGAACCTTGAGGACACTATGCTAAGTGAAGTAAGCCAGACACCAGAGGACAAATATCGTGTGACTCCACTTCTGTGACGCACCTAGGACAGTCAAGTTCACAGAGAAAGAAAGTAGAGTGGGCCAGAGGGAGGGGAAGGAGGAGCGCTTGCTCTACGGCGGCAGAGTTCCCACTGGGGGTAAAGGACCTGGTCTCGGGATGAGGGGTCGGGGCGGGGGTGGCGGGGGGCGATGCGAACACACTTCCCGCCACTAAATTACATACCATCAGAGAGGATAAAATGGGAAACGTTATTTATATACATTTTGCCAAATAAAATATATAGAAAAATTTTATCATGCTGCCTCCACAAATATTATAGTGAACCTACCATGAGAAAGTAGTTTGCTTTATAATCAGAATTACATTTTTAAAGTCTGAAGTGACTTTAAGAACACAATTCAGCAACCAAGGGGACAAAACCTCCTGTTTAATAAACTAGGGAGAAAAATGGAGTTTGAGTCTATTCAAGGACCTAAGCTCATCAACACGTGAAATACCTACTAATTAAATTTTCTTTTCCACCCCAAGTCTCAGCATATATCAGTGCTATAAAATCATTTACACTAAGTTTAGAAACCATCTATAAAATTTAAAATTTTATTAATTTTAACAAGAATTTAATCTTGTTAAAATCTAAGGCCTCATGAGCTGCAGAGATGAGAACCACAGAATGTATTGGTCCCAACAGCAAACGGTCAGTTCTGCGGCCTCCTCTCTCCACGCACCATGTGCGCTCTCCTCTCCTCTGAGGAGGGGAAAGGGCACCAAAGGCTCTGAGAATTACTGGTTTAATGGAATATCACAGGAAGGAATTAGACCTACTTTCTCTATTAAGTTCAGATTTCCATGAAAATGCAATACAGATGACATGTGAGAACTGGCATTTTACAAAGACCAGTTAGATGAAAGTGTTAGGACCAGACGAAAAGTGGGGAGGTTTGCTTAGATTAAGACAACAAAGTTTAAAAATTCCAAGCCTCACCCTGGCTGGCAAGGCTCAGTGGACTGAGCGCTGGCCTGCAAACCAAAGGGTTGCTGGTTCGATTCCCAGTCAGGGCACATGCCTGGGCTGCAGGCCAGGTCCCCAGTGGGGGGCAGGTGAGAGGCACACTGATGTTTCCCTCTCTTTCTCCCTCCCTTCCCCCTCTCTAAAAATAAATAAATAAAATCTTTAAAAAAAAATTCCAAGCCTGCAAAAATATGCACAAGAACACAAAGAACATCAGTGTTTGCTTCTCTCCGTGACTCACTTGAGCAAAGCTCTCCCAGTCCTACGGCAAGCCTTCTCTAAGCGCTCCTGATTAATGAGCTCAAATCCGTGTGTCCTGTAACACAGGTGAGCAGGACATCTTGTTCACTCCAGAGATGACTCAGGTTTAATTTTTACACTTGGAGATCCATCATGACAACATACTTGGGGAACACTGCAGGAGGGTTTGTGCTCGATGCCACCTGTTTGAAGAGGCACCTTCCTGACACTAACAAAACCACTCACCACCACCCTCTCACGCGGCAAACTCTTTGTAAGTGTGATGACCTCGTTCTCAAAGAAGTGCTCTCCAAACGCTGCAGCGTTTTCATTCTGCAGTGCACACGTGACTATCTTGCCCCTTCTAAAGCCACTAAACTAGTGAATTTCAATCATTTGAGATCCAAAGCAAGATCAACTATACTACAAGAAAGTGATGTTTCTTTACTACCCCAATTGAGACACTTCTAATAAGAAACACAGAAACTCCACCAACTCTTAGATTACAGATTGCTCACTCAGTGATGAAAGTTAAGTTTTTAACATTCTGATCACAAGCAAGGTACAATCTCAACTCTGCCATCTGACTGACTCTCATCGCCTCCACACAGATCATAGGTTGGAAATCAACACCGGACAACTACAAATAACTACCCGAACATTAAGAAAAGTTTGTAATTTATGACCTTTTCCATCCTACCAAAACATCAGCCATAGGTTTGTTGCAATTTATGTGCCCCCCGCAAGCTTAAGTACTTTAGGGAGCATAAACAGTCTGATTTTGGAAGAGTAATCAATAAGCACAAGTATTCAGCATTCACCTATTGGAGATTCAGTTCAAATCTATACTGTTCCATGCTGTTTACCTCAAGAAACAATTCCTTTTATTATTTACAAAATAATTGTGCTTCTGCTATACAGCCACAAGTACTTTTACAAAATAGTGGATAAGTATAATTCAATACTAGACCAAAAAAAAAAAATCACTCCCAATGCATTTTGTCCTAATGTAGTTTATCATATTGGTATTCTTCAGAGCTAACAGTGAAAAGCCTAAGCACAGAAAATTTTGACTTAGCATTTACGATACATGCAACGTTGACAAAAAGTAAGATGTGATGCCTAGGCCTTTGGGGAACTTAAAATCTATGAGAGAAGGTCAATTTTATATGTTAAAAATAATTCAGAGAACTACAGGAGAAGTACCAAAATTATAACACAGAATACACACGCTCCTGGGACTCAGGGGCGGCACAGCATCTAAGAGAGGAGCAGCATTGAGATCACTCCAGAGAATGTCGTGTGTGAGCCAGCAGCCTGGGATGGCAGGTAGGACGTATGAAGAAGCTGTGGGAGGAAGAGATTCTGAGGCCAAAGACTTCTCCGTGGCCAGGCTCCAGCTGTCACTGCAAGGAAATGCGATCCTCGTGCTGCTTTAGGAAGAGGCAGCTGGCAGCAGTACCCAGCAGGTAAGAGACGGGAAGGCTGGAAACAGGGGAACTTAGGAGATGTCTATGCGAGCAAGTCGAGGCATCAAGTGCCTGGAAGGGATGGTGCAGGCAGGGATGAGGAAAGGGAGGATGCAAGCTATGGCGGGAGGCCAGGATCCAGGTTCTCAAGCAAATCAGAGGGTGACTAGAAGTGTAATGGCAGTACTGAGACGACTGGATGACTCCGGAAGATTTCTTTTTTTTAATCAAGGGTTCATTCTTTTCATACTTATTAAGTTTAAAGTTACAGTGGCCATTTCAGGCCACAGGCAAATGCGCGCGCGCGCGCACACACACACACACACTTGTCTC